GGCACACCTGGGGGCACCTGAGCTCACACCTGGGCACACCTGGGCACTGACAGCCCCTCCCCCCTCCCCCGCAGACCCCGGCGCGGTGGTGGCGGCGCAGGGGGCGGGGCCTTTCGCCGTGGTGGGCGGGGCCTTGGCGCTGCTGGTCTTCCTGCTGCTGCTGCTGCTCGGGGCCCTGGTCTGGTGCTCCGTGCGGCAGAAAGGTGGGCGGGGCTTCCCCGGGGGGGCGTGGCCTCCGGAGGGGGCGGGGCTTTACACAACGGGCGGGGCTACAGCGGGAGGGGCGTGGTTTGCTGTCTGGGGGTGGGGCTATGAGGGAAAAGGGGCGTGGTCTGAAACGCGAGGGGTGGGGAAAGCGGGGTGGGCGTGGCCTGGGAGGGGTGGGGCCGATCTGGCGTCCCCAAATCCCATTTTCCCCAAATTTTCCCCAAATTTTCCCCGAAATTCCCCATTTTTCCGGGGCGGGGCTTTACACACCGGGCGGGGCTACAGCGGGAGGGGCGTGGTTTGGTGTCTGGGGGCGGGGCTATGAGGGGAAAGGGGCGTGGTCTGAAACGCGAGGGGTGGGGAAAGCGGGGTGGGCGTGGCCTGGGAGGGGTGGGGCCGATCTGGCGTCCCCAAATCCCATTTTCCCCAAATTTTCCCCAAATTTTCCCCGAAATTCCCCATTTTTCCCACAAATGTCCCCAAATCCCGTTCTCGCCCAGTTTTTCCCCAATTTTCCCCCAATTTCCCCAAATCTTCAGTTTTTCCCCCCAATCCAGGCTCACACCTGACACACAAAGCCATTTTCCCCCCATTTTTCTTGTTTTCCCCTGGTTTTTACCCATTTTTTCCCCCAAATTTCCCAATTTTCTCCCCAATTTTCCCGTTTTCCCCCATTCCCCCCTTTTTCCTGTTTTCCCTTGTTTTTTCCCCATTTTTCCCCCATTTTTTTCCCCATTTTCCCCCAATTTTCTCATTTCCCCCCATTTTTCCCCTGTTTTTTCCCTGATTTTTACCCATTTTTCTCCCAAATTTCACTATTTTTCCCCATTTTTCCCAAATCTCACGTTTCTCTCCCCAAATTTCCAGTCTCATACCTAAC